TAAGAGTAAAACACCTCAAATACTTTCAATGTCACTGCAGATCTTCAACACCACACAGGGAATAATAACATGAGGTTGAGATTGCCATGCTTAGTCCAAACCACAGAGCCCATATGGGTTAACAGATGTGCCTTTGAATGTGACAGAAACATGTGTCTTTATATTTCATTTCACTGGAATGCAGCTATTCCCAATATGAGGAGCATGTCTCAACTTGCAATAAATATGTAATATTCAAATCATCCCGTTTATACAACATTTTAACACATCTCTGTGCTGATTGTCTTTTTCAAGATATGCCTCTGTGATCAGTAGGTCTGGTATCTGTAGTGAATTTCATGTATTATGTAAACCTGAACACCCACTATACATGAAAATATCAGGTAGAAAGACTGAGCTGCTCAAGCTTATTGATTTTTTGAATATCTGAGAGACTGAAGAACTGTTTGACTGATTATGTTTTTCCTTCTCTCCCTCGGTCAGGGAGGTAAGATCCCTATTCGGTGGACAGCACCAGAGGCTATCGCCTACAGGAAGTTTACATCAGCCAGTGATGCTTGGAGTTATGGCATCGTGCTCTGGGAAGTGATGTCATACGGGGAGCGGCCGTATTGGGAGATGTCCAATCAGGATGTAAGTACTGCAGAGTTATAACGTTTTGATTTAATGTTTAGTTCATGTACAGAGTTGTGTAAATGGACTTAAAGCTGAAGTTATGCTTGACGATTTGGTCATTCCGCGCAGCAGCAGTGATGTCACCACAATGCCTTCCCCTTATTCAGAGACACAAGTGACTCAGGGCAGTCCTCTAAATGATAGTTATCAATAGCAAAAAGCAAAAGAACCATACCAGCTTGTTTCCTGCTGGAGTGCTGCTTTGGCATTTCTTTTCCCTTGTGCAGGTTTTCCTTAGTTTCATGCAGAATGTCTCGTCTTTACCAACAGTCTCTGCATCTTTATCCAGGAGCAACTTTTAAATCCCTATGCTCCCTCAATAATGACATTTATGAGAGGTCATACAGATATCTGTTGAGATGGACCTGTTTGCAGTCCCTGCCCCCAGCTCAATCGATGTTGCACTTGATGTAACCCATGCGCCAAGATATAGAACCTTTTCAAGGTTTGCGAGTAGCTGAAATGATGCTGCCAATGGGGAGCACCAGCAGAAATGACATGATTTCTGGCAAGCAAGTACAAACTAGGCTGAAGAGAGAAGAAAGGAATGCAGTCTCAGAGAGCCAGTAGCTAGCTAGACACTCAGTGGAGCTGTGCCAGTCAGGCCAAGGTGTTTGGATAGGTGGTTGAGGAAGATGGCATCGAAGGCAGCAGAGAGGTTTGAAGGATGAGGACACTGATGTGTATACTGAAGGGGTTCATAGAGCACATGGTTGGACATGTGCTGGTGGAGTTGGGCGACGACTGCTCTTTCCAGGATTTTGCTGAGGAAAGGAAGGTTGAAGGCAGGTAGTTGTGAGATTAACTTCATTAGGTGTAAACTATGTCTGTACGATTATAGAGCCATAGATGCCATTTTATTTTTTAATAAATCTCATCCAGCATTTCTCCCATCTTGTGTTTCCTTGATACATCAAGGTAATAAAGGCTGTGGATGAGGGTTACCGCCTCCCCCCGCCCATGGACTGCCCCGCCACTCTCTACCAGCTGATGTTGGACTGCTGGCAGAAGGAGAGAAATAACCGGCCGAAGTTTGAACAGATTGTCAGCATCCTGGATAAACTCATCCGCAATCCTGGTAGCCTCAAAATCACGGCCAACACCACGTCCAGGTAAACCTTGAATACTCTGAGACTGAGAGACATTTATGTCTTGTGCATTCCAGTGTTTGTGGGGCTCTGTATTTTTGGATCGCACAAATAACACAACCACCAAAACTGTTATCACCTGGATCCATGAATTTTAACACTAGAGATGGTTTGCATTATACATTTCACACACTGCCTTTTCGGTTATTGCAGGTCATAGCACTTTCTGCTGTCATTATAATGCACGGGGATACTAATGACTGCTGCAGTTTTAATTTTCAGGAATGGAGCTCAATTCCCCAGTATTAATGTAATAGCCAATAAGAAGACAAAGGCTTACAGAAAGAGGATATTAGATTTACATGTCTTTCTCGCTTGGTGAACTCCTGTTTGTCTTTGGAATGAGGCGGTGCAGGAACTCAACATAAGCATCGCCTCCTTGCTTCCTGTCATTGCAAGGTGAAAATTAGCTCCACTCATCGCCACCCTCCTCCCCATCTATTTACCTTAAACCATTACCATGAATATTTCTTGTGCAGGCCAATGAAATATTCCTCACTACTTTTTTCCTTCATTATTACCCCCACTCCCTGCCTTGGCACTTCTCTCCTTTGTTGGGACAACTATTCTCTCCCAGGGGGCCACAGGGAACCAGGGCAGCCCATGTACAGTTGTCACTTCTGAGCAGGGAGGGGGACAAGCGTTGGGTCTGAGCAGACGACCGTGGTATTATGGAGACGTCAAAGCTCATAACATTGACTAATGATTTCTTAAGAAAGTGAAAATAGGTCCCTTGGAGTTTGCATGTAATTTTCCTGATTGCCTTTTAACACTGAGCGAGCACAGGCTGGCCGGCAGAGGCGGCTCTAGTGATTTATGAGAATGGTGTATGTATGTGTGTATCTGCATATGTGTGTGTGGCGACGGCAGTTGCACAGCAGGAGCAGCTGCACTCAGCTCCACACACCTCGTTTGTCTCAGGCTGGCGGGTGGACCAAGCCCCCTCCTCTGCAAAAGCCTCTAGACCAAAGCCTGGGATCGGAGGAGAGCATCTGGAGAGTTTAGGGGTGGGACCTGGTCAGAGTTTAGTGTCCCTGGGTGGATGAAGAGGGACTTGAGTCAGTGTGCCAAGGTTGGCCATCAGAGACTAATTATGGGGCCAACAGGAGTCAAGTCAGGGTTAGAGGCCACTGTCAATACCATTGACTTTACAGGGTGTCTAAAACATATGAGATCACAGGTTATCCTGTTTTCAAAGTGAGGAAGTGTCTTCCTTCATGTTCAACAACTTATTACTGCAACTGCAGTGCTTAAATTCTAGTACACATTATAAATACATGTCAGTGATCAGTAATGCACTGCCACATATCCAGTCGGGTAAAAGGAATAATCAAAAGCTGAACTTGTAACAACAAATCCATTTTATATTATAACTCCTCACTGTAATGTCAAAAAACAAAAAAGAAGGTCTTCAGTTCATGTTCAGTAGTTAGGGTCGAATTGGAAAATAGGTTGAAAATAAGAGCTAACCAGTTTCCTGGTAAACGACTTCAGACAAAAAAATAAGGGATTGGGGCTGTGGGCCATAGCTGGAGATGGAACTAGGCTGAGGTCTGTGTTGTGGTGTATCTTGGCCTGTGGAGTGAGGTTGGGACTTGGAATAGAAAAAATGGGAAAAGAAGGTTTCAATTGGTGATAGGAAACCAGCTAAGGGTACTAAAAAACACAGATATTCATGCAAAGCTGTGAGGATATAAAAAGGCACGGAACGAGGTGACATGGGAGGTATAGGAAACACATGGTTGATACCAAGCACTGAATATCAATACTTTTGAAAAGTCTTAAAAAATCTAAAGAGTAAAAAAATATTATGTACATAGCTTTTAACTATTATTAAGTGAGTATTATTTATGTTCATTTTTAAGAGAAATGTTTTGGCGGAATGCATAGTTTTGCAATGTCTCTGCATGTTGAAGTTGTTTCTCAATGATACAGATAGCAGCGTGTTGTAATAAAACTACAGATCAACATGGAACTCATACCCGAGGCTATAAACACCCTGGTGAGAATTCACAGTACACTTGGCTTAGCTCTAGGAAATGATATGATATCTATTGTCTCTAAATGTAGATAAAATGGTGTTTCAAGGGTTATTCGCTACGTGGCTACTTCACCGAAGTAATTCTCCTACATATCTCTCATACTTGACTTAGGTCTTACATTTTCTTTACTTTTCTCCCAAAGAGCTCTTAAAATGATAATTTTTTACTAATAATTAACTTGTTGAATCCTGCAGAAACCCTGATTTGGCTAAATAACAAAAATCCATGTTTTACATTTTCAATTAAATCTCATTTTACACAAAGTCAAAAACTCTCTTTAACAGCATTGAAAGTCTACAGTGAAACTCAGGCCTCTCATGTAAATCAAGCCTCCATATTAAGAATCATGCATTGTTGAGTGGAATCAAATTCAAAATGTCACACTTGAATAAATTTAGGTTAATAGCTTCGTTCAGACCACCTGAGTAGCATTGATTAAAACTACATCATATTCATCACATCCAGCAGAGGCAGAAGATACCTAATGTCCTGGTATCAGATTTTCAATTAAAAGGCCAGACGTTGGCCCGTGTGTATCAGGCTAACCTCTCCCAAGCAGCGACGCCCTGGGAGTTGTGCTGGTAACAGAGTGAGAAATGAATTCCTCCCACACTGTCCTACCAACATGAATCTGCTCGTGCTCTGCTCCGCATCCACCTCTACTCCTCCCTCGAGAGCTTTAAAAAAAAGAGACTACACAGGCCTGGTTATTTAGAGGTCAAACAAATGAAAGATTGAGCAAAAGAAGGGAAGGGAAATGAAAACGAGAAGAGGGGTAGAGTTTTTTCTTTTTCCAGTGTATTTATACTTCCCCGTGTTCGAGCAGTTGTTTTCTGCGATGCTTTATGGTGTTAAGTCCATGAGGGGTTCTCGAAAATCCCCCCCTCTGCCGCCAGACAGATGCTTTCTCTGCTCTTTATTTTCCCCTTCATCACATCCCTCTGTTTCCTCTCCAATCATCTTGTCTCTTGAGCTGCAGCAAGATGTTGCCGAAAATGTAACAACAAAGGAGACAAAAGAAAATGATAAGGGAGGGGAAACAAGGTCATTTGCAGTTTACCTCTCGGAGGAGACGAGGAGAGGGGTAAAGAAAGCAGAGGATGACAGGGGAGAGATCAGAGAATGGAGCAGAAGAGGAGAGGATCAATAATCCAGTAAAAACAAATCCTGACAGATATGAAGTTAATATTCAAGACTTTTTGGGTGTAATTTTTGTCCAAATTGTACAATTTAAAACTGTTATCTTTTGCCAAATGTATATCTGTAAACCATCAGTTATAATCCTCCCAATCATTCCTTCACTTTACATTAAAAACACATTATACAAAAAATGATAAACATAATCATTTTTTTCCCTTTCAGTGAGATTTACACACTCCCCCTCACCCTCCACCACCATGCAATCTATCCCCGTCTAGCTCTCAATTCCCTCCTTTTTCTACAAACCAGTCTCTCCAGGGGGTCCTGGGGGCCCCAGCATTTTGACAGTCCTCTGATCTGGCAGGAAAAGACTCAATAATTTTAACAACACCCACTCCACCATCTTTTTTTCCCTCTTCTTTTATCTTCCCCTTTTCCCTGCCTCTGTTTGAGATGTCATCTCACTTTTCGTTGGCTTACTGTGGTGGGGTTTTTGACATTGCTGCTTGATGGGAGCTTGATGATTTTCTATTGTAACATCTGTTTGATTGAAAAAAAGAGAGTAATTGTTGTACAAGTCCAACATGGTACATCTGAGCTCCAATCGTACTCTGAACATTTAAAAGAAAACTAAAAAGGTTAATAAGGTGCTTTTATGCATATAGCCTATTTGACTTAAATAAATAAAGATGCATACATTGCCTTGAATCAAATAAAATAGAATCAAATTAAAATGCCAAATCGAAAAAAATACTAAAATGTTTAAGACACATTTTTGTCTTTCACTAACCCTAACCCTTATTGATTTACATGTTCCTAATTGTCTCTGGATATCCTAAGCCTGGGTAATACTTTCAGATTTCCACACATACAAACACACACACTGGCTCCAGACCTCCCTGCTAATCTAAATCAGTCAGGCAAAGGTGGACTTCCTGGTATTCTAAAAAAATAATTTATAAAACTATGAATAGTATTCCCCTAAGAAAAAACTACCCTGCTCTGTCCTGGCCGGTCCTGCCTTGTTCACAAAGCGCTATTTCCCTTGTGTGCATGTGTGCACTTGCATATGTGTGTGTGTGTCCTAACGCAGGTGTCTTTGTCTGATCTGCAAGATTGGTGCAGTTTTAACTCGTAAAAAAATAATACCTTTTCACAGTTTTAAGGGCCACTCACAATGTTGGCAATACATACACAAAGTGTTGAAATCATTATTGTTTGATTGATTATGTTTTGAGTTTGACCTAATGTGCTTTGACCTAGATTTCTATTTCCTGCTTTCATGTGGTCAGGTTTCACAACAGCACAACGAGCATTAATTGTATAAACACAGCATCAGTTCTGACACAGCTCTCTTTGTTGTCTCCAGCTTCTCCACCACTCTCCAGCGCTCTTTCTGCCTCTCTCGTCCTTCCCCCAATCCTTGGCAAACATCAGTCAGCGCCAGTCAGAACTGTGCCTGCAGCCTTTCCTTCACCCTCTACTGTTGACTGAGCACTCTAAAGCCCAACGCAGTGCATTTAATTTGATTTGATCCAATTGAAACCATCAAGCCTAATCAAATCTAATATTGCATTTTGCCGCATGGTACTGTAATGAAATTAGACAGAAACCGATGCTGCTTTTGTTGGTAATGTTGTTCTTGAATATGGTTAAAATATTATTGACGTTTTGTGTGGTGGGTTGATTCCCACTGTACTTAAAGCCCAAAGGCATTATGCAGGTTTATTGTATGCAACAGACATGTAAGGCCAGTGTGTGTGTGTGTGTGTGTGTGTGAGAATGATACAATACATAAACTCTTCATTAAAATACTAATGTATTGTAATTACTCCAAAAATAAGTAATTATGCAGAAATGGTGTCACAATAATCTTGCTGCTCATCTAGCCTTTCATAAACCTTGTTTCCATCCTGCTGTCCACCTGGAGGCTGTAGCAGAAGTTTTATTTTTGTCTCTTTTGTCCTCATTTGGTTTATATGTTTTCGGGACAAAGTCAGTGCAAGGTCACTAAATATCAACAATGTGCAAACTCAGTACATACTCTTAATCCAAAGAGTCCTCTCCACAAGTTGTGATTGCCTGAAAGTTTAGCAGCAGCAGCAATAAAATTAGACTCTCAGCTGGTGATCTGCGTAGCGCTAATAGCCTTATGTTCCTGAAACTACGCTATGATCTCCATTGTCAGTGTTACAGGTCATTACTCAGAGAAATGTGTCTTTGACAAGTCATTTATCTTCGTCCTTCCTTTGTCTTGCCTCAGGCCGGCTAACTTGTTGCTGGACAGGAGTAGTGCGGAGGTTCCCTCGATGGGGACGATGAGTGACTGGATGGATGGAATGAGGACCTTGCCCTGCAAAGAGGCCTTCTCTGGGGTCAGCTACAGCTCCTGTGACACCCTGGCCAAGACTTCCACAGAGTAAGCAACAAGACACTCCGACAGACACACACACACACACACACACA